AAATCTATCACAGCAGTTGGCACAGTTTTGAAAGATTAAAATCCAAATACTTAGGCAAATGGCACGCGAGGTTACTAAAATGCTGGCTGGAAAACCGATTGAGTTTTGAATAAAGATCCCCATAGTCTTCCATGACCTTTCTGACATTAGTCTCTAAATCCCAAAAGGCCAGGCGCAAAGGGCAAAAGAAAGAGAAAAGCCCCACCTTTAAACCCAGAAAGGAGGCGATACGTCCACCCTTCAACCAACCCGAAGTCGCGTTCTCCGCCCGCCCACTGTTTGAGAAAACTTATCTCCTCCTTCTTGGTCCCTTTTACGACAGTTTTCCGGTTTAGTTTGCGGCTGCTACTGCCGTATTTCGTAAGGCCCCAGTGTTTGGGGGCTTGTGCTCGCTGGCTGTGGCTGCGTCGCTTTCTGGTAAAGGCGTATAGTTGATAGCCGTGGCGTCTGGGCTGGGATGAACCGCGCTCCGGGTGGGTCAGGAGAGCCGAGCATGAGCCATGGTGAGTTAGTTCAGCCTTCCGGTGTCCCGGGCGGCTTCCTGTGGAGGCCTCAACCTCAGCTCCGGCTCTGAGGCTGGGTTCCCCAGTGCTTCCCGGGGAGTTAGTCACACTGTTGCTCCCTTCCTCGACCTCTGTTGTCACACGGTCTTTCGGCAGTGGCCGCAGCCTCTAGTCCGTGGTCCCGCTGCTCCGGGCGCGCAGGCGTTGTTCCTCTTGAGCACCTTTAAGGTCAGAGGCTTTCATGGGCTGGATGGAGACTAGAGGAAACGCATTTTTTATTTGCCCTTTTCCCAAACACATCACAGTTCTTGTTTGACTTTGATGTGTACTTTCCCTTTGACTTTTGCTGACATAGATTTCTGAATCCTGCTTCTTGAGTATATTTGCGCCTCACTAGGAGATAACGGGACAGTGAGGACAGTGCCGAAGGCTCCCTGAAAGGCACTTATGTCCACATTTAGTGTTGATAGTGCCTTTATGAGAATTTTTCAGGGTCCCTCTGGAGAATTTTTCCTTCTCCAGTACAAACCTTATTTTTGCTGCTCTTGATTGAATTTTAATCCAGTTCAAGTGGCAGGGGGTGAAAGTTTTTAACGGGAGGGAATCATTCTTTTCAGTATTGTAGAGGTAAATAAGAAAGTAGACTTAACCTTTTCTTCCGTAATGAAAATCTCTAACCTTTACACTGCATTCTACCTAAAAATTGCCAAGTTTTTTGTTGTTGTTTTAAGACAGGGTCTCTTGATGTTGGCCTGGAACTTGCATCCTCCTGCCTTAGCTTAAAATAGTGCTGGGATTATAGACAAGAATCATCATACCCAATACAAAATACTTTTAAAGGATCATTAGGCAGAATATTTTCCCTTTAAGAAATTTCTCCTTCCATTGAAATGAAATGTGTAATGAGTTAGGATGGCCATGATAAGGATGGAAATGAAAGACGTAAACATTGACTCTTTTTTTCTCCCTTACCAGGCCAGCACAGTGGTTGCAGTTGGACTGAGCATTGCTGCTGCGGGATTTGCAGGTTTGTTTATGGTTTGGGAATGAAAGTGAAGTAGGGAGGTCGGGGATTAATTTATTATATTCCTTTTGGTTTTAGGCCGATACGTCTTACAAGCCATGAAGCATATGGAGCCTCAAGTAAAACAAGTTTTTCAAAGTCTACCAAAATCTGTAAGACTTACCATACATTTTCACTATTTTTTCTAAATTTGCTACAAGTGTGTTTGTAAATTCTTTCTTAGCTATTATAAGAAATCAAATGTTATATGTGACAGTTAAGGGCCGGTGCTATTAACAGTTCTAGTATTGTGAAAGTATCACTTACTGTTTTCACGCTATTAACTTCAGTGTTCACGTTGTTGCTTTCCCTCATCTATTCTTTCAAAAGCACAAGGGGACCTAAAGTGATCCATTCTTAGTATGTGCTCTTGGCCAACATGACACCTACTAAGCACTGCAGTTAATTAATTTACTAGGTATAATGAGATATGATAATCTTGCCCTCTGCTGTCACAGTTAAGAATGAATTTGAGCTGGACAAGGTGGTACATGTCTGTAGTCCAAGCTACTCTGGAGGCTGAGGTGGGAGGATTGCTTGAGCCTAGGAGTCCCAGACTAGACTGGGCAACACAGCAAGACCTTGTCTTTAAAAAAAAGGCTTTGGGCATGGTTCAAGTGGTAGAGCATCTAGCAAGTGCAAGGCCCTGAGTTCAAACCCCAGTATCACCTCCGCCCACCAAAAAGAGTATGGCTGTGACAGCTTGTTGAACTTTTTTATGTTGATTAATGGTAGGCTTAGGGCTAGGAGTGGGCTCAAGTGATAGAGCACCTGCCTAGCAAGTGTGAGGCCCTGAGTTCAAACCCCAGAACCACCAAAAAAAGAAAGTGGGCTTTAGCTACTTTTCTGACCTAGTATCAAGGAGGACCTGACAGCGTGATTTTCTCCACACATACCATAAAGTCTTGTTTTAGTGGTTCCCTTGAATCACTTATTTAAAAGAAAAAACAAGTCTCCAGATCCTTTTCTGGTCTAAGCCATATTTGTCCTATGAGATCAAATTTTTAACTAGAATATGGTTGAGTAGGAACGGTCTTCCACTCACTCCTGAAATAACTGTCAGATACTGTTCCTTTGGCAAGTTCATATTTGGATCTGTTCAGTAACTGATAAAAAGTTTGTTGCTATTTACAAAGCTAAAATATAGAAGTTGCATTTAAAGTTCTAAAGTTTTTCAACTGCTTCTGTGGGTATTTACACTTTTTAGCAACATAAAACTTTTTATTGTATTAATCTTTCTTTACAAATGCATTTCCTTTTCAGGCCTTCAGTGGTGGCTATTACAGAGGTGGGTTTGAACCCAAAATGACAAAACGAGAAGCAGCATTAATACTAGGTGTAAGGTAATTTCTAATACTAATAAAAAAATAATTTCCTTAATTTTTCTGCAGTTAAGGATAAAGCAGTTTTTAAAGGGGAGGTTGAACCAGGAAAGTTGCTATCTTCAGTTTTGGTCAATGGAACCTTGCTGCTCCTTCTTTAAGGGCTAAGTACTCCTTACAAAAGTCACATGGAAGGCACACTAAGAAATATTTTAACAGACTTCTCAACAGACTAGCACAGTGTTCTCTATAACTTAAGACATTTTCTGTGCTGAAATTCTGCTTTCCAAGAGAAATGTTCGATATTACCAAGTTCCAACTATAATTTTGAAAATGTTTTACACTTTAGATGTTTTTGTGGGACTGGAGTTTGAACTCTGGGCCTTGCGCTTACTAAGCAGGTGCTCTACCACTTGAGTCATTCCGTGAGCAAAAAAATGCTTTACTTTTTTAAGATAGTGTAATTCTCCAATTTAGAATATGCATTTTTACATTTGTGTTGGAGCTCATAACAGGCTTTTATACTATTTTGATTTACTAGTTTCATAATCTTTAATTGGCCCTTATAATTTTTAATGTGACCCAGAAATAGACTGAAATAACTAGTTATCTTTTCTTTTTAATTAGCCCTACTGCCAATAAAGGAAAAATAAGAGATGCTCACCGACGAATTATGCTCTTAAATCATCCAGACAAAGGTAAATAATCATTCTCCATGTTGTTGGAGGGACTAATTGTTATTAGAATGATTTTATATCTGATTCTTGGCTGTCTTAAGAGAAATGCCTGAAACCGTGTGAGAGCAGTTTCCCAGGCTAGGACCATGTTTTTTGTTTTGGTTTCTTAAAAAATAAATTTGAGGGAAATTTTTTATTTAAATAATGAATAGATCTACGGTAATTTGGTAGTAGTGATAATCGTTTTAAAATCTGTATTTTTGGGCTGGGAGTGTGGCTCAAGAGCACTTACCAAAGCAAGTACAAGGCCAGGTACCAGGAAAAAAAAAATCTACATTTATGATAAAGTATGACTTCTAATAGTGATGGTCACAAATACTAGTACTACTTGTTTAGTAAAGCAAGTATTAAATTTCAACTAATTAAACTGATTTTTTACTACATCCTTTTTAGATACTTTAGAAACTTACGGGATGTATTTACTTGCTTCTGTTATACTTCTAAGTAGCCTTGACTGTACTGAAAAGAACTCCTAATTGAATACCAAAAGATAGGGCACAAAAATTCATGTTCCAGGGCACAAATCTTATTATTCACATAGGAGAGGCCTTTTATAAAAGAGGGTGTTGACAGTTTTAACAGGACAGTCATTGGTTTCTAATCTAATAAGAGTATGAACTTTATCATATATTTTTAGAGGTCTTCTTATTCAGTAGGTTTACATTTCTGCCAAATTTCCAATTGATACTGCTTGTTAGTCTTAGAAACACACTGCTCCATCAGATTAGTAGGACAGAAGCTATAAATGGCATCTTGAAGGGCCAGCTGATTGTAGGAAAAGAGAAAAACTGAAGACAGAAAGAGAACCTAAAGCAAATAGGGGTCTTTCCAACACAAAGCTCAGAAACCTGAAAATATTTAGTATCATGGTTTAATAACAGTGTTAAGTCAATGTTCATTCATTATTTGTAATCATGAGCAGCTAACTTACACTCTTTCAAAAGCATATGTATGTGGGAGATTTTAAAATCCTACTTCTATCAGCTTTTTGAGCTTTCTAAAAAGGTATTTTTTTGTGAAAAATCACCCTCATGTAAAATACTTCATTTCTCATTCGTCAAATATCCTACCATATATAGTGATCCAATTCAGCATCATTTTTACTGTTGTTTTTCTAATGAAAATACAAAATTTCACCTTCCAAATAATCATTAGGATCCTTAAAATGAGTTTTTACCAGATTTAGAATCCATATTATAACTATGTTTTTTTTTTCTTCCTGTAGGAGGATCTCCTTATATAGCAGCCAAAATCAATGAAGCTAAAGATTTACTAGAAGGTCACGCTAAAAAATGAAAAATATGATGAATTTTAAGTTCATACTAGTATAATTTATGTGTATGATTACCAGCTTTTTATTAAAAAATGCCTCTGAGATAAACTTTTATAAATGATTCAGTACAAACAAGTTATGTCAAAGCCTTGGTATATTTTCTTTAAATGTGAGGATCTTAAAATACTATAGTAGAGAATTAATATTCAGTAATTACAAATATGCATACTATTTCAATAGATAATGTAAATTATGCATTTAACAAAGAATTTAGGGTTTAGACTTGCTCTAACACTAAGTCCCTGCTCTAAAAGAGCCCCTCCCAGTTTAATGGGAGACATAAATTGGTAACTAAAATAAGTGGTAAGTATGACATCAGCACAAACTTTTCAAGTAGAGACTCACGTTTGGAAGTGAAGCTGCTTCAAGGTACAACTGGGTCCAGCAATTTGGAATGTTGTAACTAAAAGTGAATATAGCCACAACTTTGACTTAAGATACTATCTAGGTGTGTATCTGTCTGTCAGTCAGTAACAGATGTTTATAAAATTATAAACATTTGAGAATACAGGTCCTATTTTTTAATCAGAAGTATTTACAGCCTGATAAAGACTTGTCATTTGGAAGTTATTCCTATTTTTTTTCTATATAATTCAGATTTTACAGTAGTTATATGACCAAAACTGAACATTACTAGTGATATTGAAATTCCCTCAATATGAAGAGCATCCATCCTGGACTATTAAAAACTTACAAGCTAATAAATTTGATGACTATCAGTCTAACATAAAATATGTAAGGATCTTAACCAGAGGGCCAATATGTATTAAACATCTGAGGTTATCTGGTCAGTGATCCCCAAACAGTATTATGCGTGGCTGGTTTTTCGTTTTTTTTTTGACAGTACTGAGGTTTGAGCTTAAGGCCTAAGACTTGTGAGGCAGGCTTTCTACCACCGGAGCCACTCACCAACCCTTAATGTGTAGCTGTAAAATGATTTATACTACCTACCATTTATACTTCCTCAAATTATTACAAAGTTCTTAATATAGAATATAAAAGATTTCAAAAAGGCCAAACTAGTGGAGGTGAGCATAATTCATGTTTCAGTGTGTCAAGGGGCACTTTTAAAGTAAAGGTGTATTATTGGCTGTTTTCTATCTTGTACTGTTCAAAATCTAATGAAGTCTGAATATGATGAAGCACTAGCTTCTAAGGTTTTTATGTAGAATGAGGTTTTTTGTTAGTTAATTCAAGGGACAAGAGAAGTGAAGGTACAGTTGGTTCTTGTTATTCACAGTTGTGTTCTATAAACTCATTTCTTAAATACAGAAGTTTGGGAACAAAGAGGCTCTTGTAAGCCTCTATTCACACATATTCTATCCATCTATCAACACAGAACCTGGTTTTAAGTGTTTAAAGATACCTTATTTAACATGTATTGTTGCTTCATTAACACTGATCTCAGTCTACAGCATAGCTTACTTTGGTAGAGAGCCATCTCAAATGGAGAAATCACCAACAAAAAACACAAACATGAAATATGACCATGTACATAAAGGATACTTATTCATGAGAGTAGAAACAAGAAGGCAGACCATTGTCCTGTTTAAGCACCTGGTGCAATTCAAATTTTTTGCCAGTTTGCAGTTATTAAAAAATGACCAGGAAAGCATGTTGACTGTTGACTTGGGGGTTATAAATTTTATTAAGTAGGTGAATTCACAAGTAAAGAATCTGAGGATTCGCCTTAGCTTGGTTTACTTATCTTTCATTTCAATTCTTTGGCCTAATCAAAAAACTTTCTATAAAGACCTTTGAGGTAGTTACAAATTAAAAACAGATTTTTGAAAGACAGTGTGATAATATGCCCATAGGAATCACCAATTAACTATAAAAAGGAAGACAATGCAATAGGCATTAAGTACCTTAAATGTTAAGACCATGTGAAAACCACTTAAAAATACAAAGGAGTTTGGTGAATCACATTTCTCTTTCATAGCTATCAGTTCTATTTTCTCTAGGCATATCTTTTTCAAGTGGGTAAGTCCACATTTCATTGAAAATTATTAAGCATACTAAACATTTAAATGCCATCTATGTGAGTGCTGTAGATCCTAATGATTAACCAAAGCAAGGATCTATAGAAGTCTTGTCTTTTATTGGTATTTTCTTAGAAAACACTTAGTTCTTGGTGCTAAGCATTGTTTTCTCAATAGACTTGTTACTATGTACATTTTACTCGTAAGGAAACAAGTTTTAATGAATTAATGTGCCTAAGGAGACCAACTGAGAAAAGTTGATCCTTCTTAGATCTAAAGTTCCGTACTTCTACCCTCTGTACTGATGGTGACTTTCACAATTCTGGTAATCCAAGTATATTTTCCTTGGTGGTACCAAAGATGTCTGGTAGTGGTAGTTTTAGCATCTAGTTTAGGCCTTTCTCCTTACAAGTTGGTGTTTACAGGTAAATTGTTTCTCCACCCCCCACCATGTGGGGAGATCAAACCCAACACTTTGTGCACGTTAGGCAGGCACTCTACCACTCACATCTCCATCCACAGATATTTACTCTTTAAACAGAGACCAAGGGCTAAGGGTGTAGCTCAGAGGCAGAGAGGCACTGAGCTCAATACCCAGCTTGGGGAAAAAATGGGAAGGTAGGGTTAAACAACCATACTCGGAGAATAGAAGATGCAGGGATTCAAGTTAAGCTTCTGCAAGAATAGCTGGTGGCTTTTCAGCAAGTGATCTCTATGCTCAGGGCTCATGCTTCCTCATCTGTAAAAAAGGATAAATGACCAAATCAAAATTGTTCAATGTTTCTTCACATTTTATGGCTAGAGAAGTGAAAAGCCAGAGCAAACTGTTCTTAAGTTTACATAGCAAATGTGAACCAAGCCTTGTATGCACATATGAATAATAAAAGAAAAAAAAAAAATAAAATAAAATGGGAAAAAAATCTTTACAAAAGACAAATTAAAAAAAAAAAAAAGTTTACATAGCAAATGAAACTAGAACCGAGTATTGGAATTCACTAGCTCACTTACGTTCTTTCATAGGTTAGGTTTATATATTAGTTCTCGTTAGAGATTTGAGAAGAATTTCTGTCCAGACTTGACAGATCTGGTACGCCATAAGTTTGTGTCCCTTAGCCCCTTTGCTTTTCCCTTTACTGGGCCTCTCTAAGTTGACATCACTAAGAGTGTGTAAAAACTTTGTTGGGAATGGGAATGAAAGTGGCCCTGAAGTGAACAATCTTTTCCTTGCCTCCAAGTATTTCCAAATAGTGGGAGTATTTACAGAAGCATTTAAACAAAAATAGTCTACTCATAGATCACTATTCCAAAAGGCACATGCCATTCAAAATATTGTATTTGAAAACCAGTAGAGCATGGTAGCATATGGCTGTATTGCTAACACTTGGAGAGGCTGAGGCAGGATCTTGAGTTCCAGGCCAGCCTGGACAAATAGCACCCTCTCTCAAAATTTGAGAACTCACGTGAAAGGTTGTAAATACGTCCCATTTCTGCATATCTGCTGAGTCAATATTTAGTTATATGGTCTCCCAGTCATCCTTAATCTTAAATAGAAGGCAGCTAGAAGAATGACAACACAGGAAAAAACCCTAACAGTAACTGTGTTATACTGAAAAAACTATACTGTATTCAGCACTGAAAATGTATGCACTACTTTATAAAGAAAACCTTACATCAGAAAGTTATATTTTGAACATAAGAAACTTAAAACTTGGCTCAAAAGTTTGAACAGAATAGGAAACTATAAAGAGAAAGTAACTAAATTTAAAATTTGTGGTTGTATAAAAATACTGAGTGTGAGTAGCCTTGACTATCTGGAAACATAAATGTCCCAAGCTCTGCTTTTTGTTAACACTGTGGTTCAGAATGCTGTGCATTTGCTTAGAGCTAATTGTTGCCTTAGCAACAGGATGTAAGAAGTGTTTCTACCCTGTAACCTATTAGTCCAGTGTTATGGTATGATCTGGAAAACGGTAGCACTTGCTGCCACTTTAGTGTTTTTTTTAAACAAGTTTCAAATTTATTTTTCTTGAAAACAGCATGTCACTTGGAAAATAAAGCCCAAAGGAGATGAAATATAAGCTTCAGGCAAAATTTTAGTATAAATTGCTTTATCTAGAAGTACTGGAAAATATTTTTAATCCAAGTGGTTTCTAAACAAGAAAATGAGTAAACTTTACAACTAATTTAAAAAGGTACAACATGCAGAAAGTATTTCACCAATAACAATGTAACCACTGAAATATAAAGAAATCCAATATTAAAGTGGTGTAACTTGGTAGCTCAGCTGTTAACAGCGAGGAAATCAATAAACAATTATTTTGTCCTTTTGGCATTTAGCCTAATTAGTATGGATTCATGTAAAACACACACGCACACACACACTTTTAATTCAGCATACCCCTTGTGAGATTGAGCATCTGGTTAAATGTTACCTAGGGTCTGATGCATGACCAGATTCAAGTTACATTAACAGTGGAAGATCCTAGGGCCAGGTACAGTGGCTCAGGCCTGCAACCCCACCTACTAGCTATATAAATCAAGAGGACACCATTACAGCTAGTCTGGGCAAAGTTAGCAAGATCCCCAGATCAACCAGTAAGAATACATGATGAGCACCTATGGTCCCAGCTAAGTGGAAGACCATCGGTAGGTGGATAGTGATCCAGGATGCCCCCAATAAAACATGTTGAGACCTTATCTGAAAAATAAAGCAAAAAAGGACTGGTGGTGTGGCTCAAGTGGTAGAGTGCTTGCCTAGCAAGCATAAGGACCTGAGCATAAATCCCAGTACCACCAAAAATCAAAATAGAGGAAGGTCTTTCAAGATCAGTTTGGCCATCTTGTTGGACATAATGGAAGCCACAGAGTGTAAGTTAACAGAAGTAAAATAGTTGACTCCCAGTTGTATGCTTTTACCTCTCACTCCCCTTTCAACTGCCGAAGGAAGAAACTGACAAGTGGATTATAGGAAAACTTGTATTATAAAGCGGGCTTTTCATGTCCTTCAGTGCTTGAAGTAGAAAATACAGATCAATCTGAATCCAAAGTGATACAGTGATACACCTACCTACC